TGTACTTACTGGAGTGGTACAGGAACCTATCATTTTTCCAGCATCTTTAGCAATGGATCATATGTATGAGTTCCACTGGATTGTCTCAGTTGAGTTTAAGTCCTAATAGGGCACTCAAGGCATGAGGTATCCCTGAAGGAACATCTGTTCATCATGGTTGATGATAGTTCTGAAACAAAAGTGCAATCTTCAGCCATACCATCCTTAGTGGACATTCTGATGACCAGAATGCATTAAGATGGTATTGTTCAGATTTTTATTGATGTAATATGTTTACAATAAATGTGTTTCATAAATGTTTATTAAAATACTTTTTTTCTTGTGGTTTAACTTAATCTCTAATTCTTTTCTTTCTTGTGTTAGATTTTTCCTCTCTGTGTGTGTGTGTGTGTGTGTGTGTGTTCGGGTGTGCAAATAGGGTAATGGTTAGAGGCTCAGAATTGAAATTCTGGTTGGAAACATTGACTTTTGCACAAATAATATTAGCAAATGTATGAAACAATCTCTTCTCCTCCCAGTTAGAGGTAAAATAGCAAAGCAGACTGAATTTGGTTGGCAACCAGTATAGGAGAAGGACAACTCTGAATTTAAAATTGTATATGGATCTGGTAGGGCATATCCTTGAACTGTAACTAATGCCCATTCAGCATAGTTGAAGTATAAACCAGACATTGCCCCTGTGGGTGGTGAAGAAACATAAATGGGCCCATCAGGTGGAATCCTCAGAAATAAGCAGCCATGCTGAAGATGAGAAATCACACTAATTTCCAGGTGAATCATTTCTAATGACGATGTATGTATGTCCACATCCAGGTAGAGTTTTTAATCACAGGTTCCTCTTATTTTTGAAAGAATATAAATGGATGCAAATACATTCTTAATACACATATTAATTATTTGTTTTTATTTCATATGCTTTCTATTCTACTAAAAATAACAGAAACCATTTTTTAATCTGGCTAGCAGCACATGAGTATTCTACTTTGTATATAAAATTTGTTTTGCTAAAACAATTTAAGGAGATCAATAGTTTGCCTAACATCCTTCACCCTTTTATGAATGATCAAAGTTTGTTCAGTTTAACAAATATTTATAAAATTTCTTTTGCAACAATTGTATACATTCTTAAAAGTTTATATATGTGTGTATATAAAAGTTTATATATGTGTGTATATAAAAGTTTATATATGTGTGTATATAAAAGTTTATATATGTGTGTATATAAAAGTTTATATATGTGTGTATATAAAGTTTATATATGTGTGTATATAAAAGTTTATATATGTGTGTATATAAAAGTTTATATATGTGTGTATATAAAAGTTTATATATGTGTGTATATAAAAGTTTATATATGTGTATATAAAAGTTTATATATGTGTGTATATAAAAGTTTATATATGTGTGTATATAAAAGTTTATATATGTGTGTATATAAAAGTTTATATATGTGTGTATATAAAAGTTTATATATGTGTGTATATAAAAATTTCAGATAGAGTATATCTGTAAAAAGACAATATGAATAACAAAGACCAAAGGAAAACTTATCTTAGCCACTGTGTTTCGTTATTTGCCTTGATAAAGTTCCACAGAGAACAAAACATGTTGGCTAAGATAATTTTTTTTTTTGTTTTTATTTTATATATATATATATATATATATATATATATATATATTTGAAAAAAAAAAAGAGAGAGAGTCCGTAAACGTTTTTTGGTTATGATGTGGATTTGTTTTAGTGTATATAAATTATATTTTATTCTTCATTTAAAGTATAATATATAGACTAAAACAAATCCACATTATAACCAAAAACGTTTGTGGTTTTTCTCTTTTTAAAATATACATTTTTCTCTTGTTCGAACAATTATAACCTTTTCCTATATATATATATAAAAAATTTATAACATAAATATGTTATAAAATCACTACAAAAATAGCCATTTTGTTTCAACACCCTCGGTGTCTTATCAAGTGATAATGTTATAAATGTTATTTATGGTATGAATTTTTTTTTTTATAAAAAATAATTATATCTGCTCTACTTTGTATTGAGCACTCTTTTAAGAATAGTAATTGTTGGTTATTGGAATTCATTCCGTATATACGAATTATATACTTTTATATATATGAAAATTTCTCTGATTTAACCAGTAGAGAAGACAATATTTATGAATAAAAATGACAATAGGAAAACTGGTAATTGCTGACGGGTTTCATCCAATGTGGACTTTATCAAAGCAAAATTCGTATTATATATATAATTCCATACAAGTCTTATAAACCCCCGACTATTACAAACTACCATATCTAATGAAGGAAGGCGAATTTCAAAAGTTGAAATTGCTTAAAATGTTTTTGTTCAAAATAGACACTCAAATAACTTGAATTCTTTCACTTGTAATTCAAGGGAGCTAACTTTTCATTCAGTAACAAATTATTCCGCTTAGAATTAATGACCTGTTGGAATGAATGTTGTGAATGCCATTTAAAATCGTTATATAATTTTCTTTTTGTTTGTTTGCATGTTCATTAAGTTTTTACAGAAGAAGATTACAAATTTGTATGTTTTTAGCAAAGAACAAAAGATTGCAAACAAAATAAATTCTATGAATTCCACTTTGAGATTTTTATTGTTGTAGTCACTTCCCTTTAAAAAGATTTAAATTTTTATCAATATCATCCATTTTTTAATTCTTTTTTAACCAGTGTTTGTTTATTTCTTCTTCTTCTGTGTGCCGTGTCTCTTCATATATAGATGGTCATATAAGAGTTGTTTATTGCTAAGTATATTTAATAATTCATTTCTGTTCATAATTAATTCACTGTTTCTTTTATCTGGTTTTATATACTCCAATAAGTTTATTTTATTTTTTATGTCATTGTTTCTGATGAGTACTTTTTTTTTTAAATCATTTCACCCCAAGCAAGACAGTAATGGGACTAGAATGCACGAGGCTAAAGGAAGTGAAAAAGAAAGAGAAGACTGAGACTAGGGAGGATTGAAGAAAGGACAAAAAAAAAGGGACAGGATTCAAGAAGACAGAAAATGGCAATTGATGTTGCATTTAAATTTTTGAAGATTCTAGTTGACAGGGAAGCAAAAAATCAGAAAGGGGTTCAACAGGTAGGAAGTGCGAGAAAAGGAACTGTTAGAATAGAAGTGGCAGATAATTCAACAGTAAAACAGTGGGACCTAGTTGCCAATCTAGTAGCAAGCTTCAATTCAGGAGGATGACACGTCACATTGGTGAGAAAGTGACTGAAATTGAGATGCAGAATTGATTAGATTAAAGATCCTTCTTTGAATTTTATCAAGAATTTCAAGATGTACAGCAAGAGCACAGACCAGATCTGGCAACAATGCACAGATGAATGGTAGATTATATAAACGAGAAGGCAACCCTCAAATACAAAGAGTAAGAAGAAGAAATGACTGAACCTGGACAAAAAACACCAAAAATATGTGAAACAGAACCTACTAATTTATGACTGAAAACTAAAAAAATCTGGGAGGCTCCACATGTAACTTCCATTATAAAAAAAAATAAAAAAGAAAGAAATGCCAGAAAATAAAATAATTTTGACCAATCAAAAATACTGAGACAAAGTGACTTGTGATGTTAGCTGAAACCAATGTTCATGCCAGAGTTTCGGAACATGGTCAAAAGCAACAAGCTGACACCTCAGAGCTAGAAGAGGAGGGATGGGAACAGTGACAAACAAAAGATGGTACACCAGAGAAACCAGCCATGCGTGATGCATAAAGAAGTAATTAAGAGGTCATCTGCTAATGATATTTCTGCCCTGCTTAGAGCCAAGAAAAACAGAGTAGATTGACATTGGCCTATATTACTACTACCTCTAGCACGGTCTGAGTTCAGAACTATCACTATTGGATTTTCTTCAAGCTACTACTAATATCCACCTTATAAATTAACATTTTGCTACACCAAATACCAAAGGACTTACTCTTAAGAAAATAAATAAAAATATATTATTTATTTTATAGCCTTGAGTCAGTTCATTTTATTTCAAAATTTCCAATAAAAAAAATCCTATCACTTATCCACAATGGTAATAATAATTATAAGATTGGTCATTTTCATGCATTTAATATTCCTTGATTGAACAATTAGCTCTACTGATGGTTGAAATTTATAAAATCTTTCTCTTAAAACAGGTTTTCAGGAAAATAGCTTTCTCAGTAGTCCAGTAACTGTTATTGATATTTACAGTATTGATGGGAGCTTCCTTCCTAACATTTTGTTTGAGGTAGTGTGGGAAGTCAGCATCTTGATTATGTCATTATTTTCTCTTTGACTTATATGTCCTGTCCATTATAATTTTAGTTGTTTAAAATTTTTCAAGTGATGTGGTTTTTATTATTTGGTAAAGATCTTTATTTGCAATTCTGTATTACCAGTCTGCAAGATCTGACAAAATACAGTCCGCCCTAAAACTAATTGGGCTCATTCATTTGAAACCATTTTTAATCATTGATCTGAGAAAACAGTTGTATATAGCTGATGGTTTAGATGTTTCTGAATGAATTGGATGTCATGTATGACATCCATATGAAAGTCTCCATCAGACAAAGCCATTTAAAAACATGACCCAAGTTCTTAGGTTAACATTTTGGTTTTGTGGTATTGGGCAAAAGTACCTCTTGTGCAATCTATTCTATGTTTCATTTCCTTATCTTCTATACTCAACTTATTATAACTGATCCATACCTTAAAGTATTTGGAGTGTTTTGTATTATTTCAAAGAATTTTGATTTTTTTTTTGTTCAAGATCATTCTTATCCCAGCTATGAATACTTATGTTACCAGCATTGCCCCTCACATGATCATTACAGTAGCCTCTAAAATACTTATAATGAAGTGCATTTTATTATTGCCAAATGCATTTCATTGCATTCAGAGTTTAAAAGTGCATTTCATTATCCTTATAAAGAAGTGCATTTCATTATTGCCTGATACATTTCATTGCAGATGGGAAGAGTTAGAAAGTGGTACTCGAGACATGTCACAGTTTGTTCAATGGCAGACCAATATGAAGAATCGTGATTGGCAAGAACAGCAGAATGAAGTAGAAAGTTTTCGACTTAAAGCTAAAATCAGCCATGAAGATGCCATCCTCAGCAAGCATAAACTCAAAGAGAACAACCGACAACTTGTACAAGATATCAAACAAAAGGTCTGTCAATGTTTCATTTGTTTATCATTTTGAAACCACAGTCTATATTCTAAAGTAAAAAAATGAAGTACTTTATATTGATCTGATTGTTTCAAAAATATGCAAAAGCAGTGAATATAAATGAAACCATTAATGAGGGTGATAGGCAAGAAATATTTCCACTTTCCATCTACCCATTGTAGGCATTGTTATATCCATGAGATAGTAATATCTTAATACATGAACAGAACAAAATAGTTGAAAGAAAGGAATAACAAACATGCATTATTCTCAAAGAGATTTTAATTACCACTATGTCGTACAAGAAATTATATACAAATATATAAATACTTGTCACTAATTTGTCACATGCAGACAAACTGTAACATATGAATAAAACAAGCTGAGTGGAAAGGCAAGCGACTAGAGGGTCTTACTTGTAATATTTTCCAAAGGGAAAATGGCAAGGCTGGTGGCATGTTCTATGAACTTCAAGATATCATGTAGGCTCTTTACACTTTGCTTACCACTCTGGGCTTAAGATGATGTCTAGTGCCTTAACAGTTTATCATCAACAACTTGTATGGACAGGCATGTCTTGCCTGTGTGCATGCTAAATAGCAACTCCTCTTTTATCACCCCATAAACTCATGTCATTTACTGGCCGTCACATGACCCTGATGATTTCTTCATAACCAAAGGAAGATAATGGCTTTTCATATCCCTAAACCATCAATATTGCAACCAATGGTAGGATTTTTGATCACATTCATTTTGCCATCCATCAATCTATTACTTGTATAACGTTTTCAAAATCATCGGGTTTTTTTTCTTGGATAACTGCCACATTTATTTATTCTGGTTACTAATTTTTGTGGCCATTGTAATCCACCAGGCAGAATAGAAATAAAAAAAAGACACTCAACTTCATTGATCATGCATTCATTGCAGTTTGTTAACTTGTAGAATATAATAGTTACTATTTTATAGCAGCAAGTAAAACAGCTGAGAAAGGAGAGATGATTTGATCATACAACTTTGATATTTGAATCCAAAGGACACGAAATACAAAAGACATTTTAATTTTCTATTTTCTGGAGTAACAAGTCCTTTTATTTATCTCTTTATTTTATATATTATGATTTTCTTTTTAACTTTTACTTTGGTTATAGGTTAATTTTATAGGTTAATTTGCTGGGTAATTTAATGTCAAATATAAAACTCACTATGAATTGATAGACAAAGGTCCAGTTTATACTAATGTCAAAAAGATAGACATAGATTCAGTGTACACTAGAGTCAAAAAAGATAGACATGAACCCATTTTACATGAGAGTAAAAAAAGGTAAAAATAGGTTTAGTTTACATTAGAGTGAAAAAGGTTCATATGGATCTGTTTTAAAGTAGTGTCAAAATGGTAGATATAGATCGAGTTTGCACAACAGTCAAAAATATTGATACAAATTCAGTTTACACTAGAGTCAAAATAGACAGAGGTTTGTTTTGTATTAAAATAAAAAAAGCAAATAAGGGTCCAGCATAGACAAGAATCAGTATGGTAGACATAGATCCAATTAGCACTAGAATCAAAAAGATAGATATAGATAGATCCAGCTTACACTGGAGTCAAAATGGTAGACATAGCTTCAGTTTACAGTAGAGCCAGAAAGATAGAAATAGATTTAGTTTGAACTAAAGTAAAAAAAATAGACAAAGGTTTGTTTTATATTAAAATGACAAAGATAAACAAAGGTCCAGTTTTACACTAGAGTAAAAAAAATAGACATTAGATCCAGTTTACACTGAAATAAATATGGTAGACATAGATCCAGTTTACAGTAGAGTCAAAAACATAGAATTATATATGTTTGACACTAGAGTCAAAAAGATAGACGTAGATCAATTTTACACTAGAGTCAAAAAATAGACATAGGTTTGTTTCGTATTAAAATCAGAAATGTAAACAATGGTTCAATTTACACAAAAAGATAGACATAGATGCAGTTTACACTAGAGTAAAAAAGATAGAATTAGATCCAGTTTACACTGAAGTCAAATTGGTAGACATAGATCCAGTTTACACTGAAGTCAAATTGGTAGACATAGATCCAGTTTACACTAGAATCAAAAGATAGACATTGATCCAGTTTACACTGAAGTCAAAAAATAGGTTGATTTTATATTAAACAATGGTCCAGTTTACACAGTACTCAAAATATAGACATAGATCCAGTTTACACAGAAGTCAAATGGTAGACATAATATATAGATCCAGCTTACAATAGATACATATTAGACTCAACCAGGTAGACATTAGTTAGGTTACTACACAACTCTTTCAAGTATCCAAAAGTTGGCCCCTTTGTGAGGATTATCAATCCTTGCCAGTGTATGTAGTCAATATATTCTAAGCCCTGCCAACAAGGCAATTCATATGTAGAATATCTTTACCAGTATTTAAACACTGAATTCAGAATAAACTCTAAACATGTATTCTTAGGTGCCAAATACAGTAAGGGACTTAATATTTGGGGTGTTTGGAATAAGCTGGGGTCATGATAAAAGAGGAGGTCATAAAATCATTTAAAAGGTCAAAAAGTATGAGGTTAATAAACAGGGTGGGCATCCTAAACTTGGAGTATGATTGGAAAATTTATAAAAAATAATACTCCACCACTTCTATTTGGCACTTAAGTGTATAATGAATAAAATTCTGTCTGTTGTTTAAATCTTTTTTTGTTTGTTTCTTTTTCTTTTGCAATAATTGTTTGTTTTTGTAAATACCCTTCCAGGCAGAAAAGCTGATGCAAATCTTCCTCCGACAACAAATTGAAGAAGAAGAAAAATCAAAGTAAGTATCAGAAATTATTGTTTCCAAATAAGGGTAACATGATTATTAATCATTAATTAATAACATTAATCATAAAGATAACAGTTGTGGCTCTAAAATAAACATGCAAAAGATTGTGGAATCTAAATTATTGTTATATTATTATTATTATAAATAATTATTAACATCCTAATTCAGAAATTAATTTCCTGTGTATCTTCTTTTTTTATGTGCTGTGTCCTTTCAGGACATAGGCGATCATGGCTCTCCACTTCCTCCTATCTCTTGTAGCTCTCAATAAGTTTTGTCTTTTTGCTACTTCTCCCAGACCCTGTTCTGCCATCCACTTGCTTAAGCCCGCTATGTATGTCATGCATTACTTTCCCTTGTTTCTCTGTCCACTCTGTGAGTATCAGATTTTCCAAGCCCTCCATACTCATTATATGTCCCAGAAATTTCATCTGCCTCTTCCTGACATTAAGCAAAAGTTTCCACTTTGTTTGCATCCTTTCATCATTGCTCACATGCTCAGTCTATGGTATCCTTAGCATCCTTCTGTAGAACTATACATCTGTTGCCTTGAATCTCTTCTTCATCTTTGACCATCCAACATTTGCTGCCATGAAGGACGACAGATATCACATAGCAGTTCAGTACTCTTTTCTTTGTTACCAATGAAAACCTTCTGTCTCATAATACTCTGCCGAGCTTTTGAAATGCATCTTTGGCCATCCCAATATGTCTTCAGATCTCAGTGTCTACTTACTATCCTCTGTCAGAACACTTCCTAGATATTTAAATTTCCACACCCACTTGATCTTAGTGCCCCCAACTTATAAATCACATTTTGGGCTCATCTTTTTTGCTAATGACAATTCATTTGGTTTTCTTGTGGTTTATGCTTAGTCCCTTCTCACTCTCCTTTGCTACCTTCTGTAAGAGGTTTTGTAGTTTCCTTTCCATGTCTGCTATCAGCACAGTGTCATCTGTGCATCTTATGTTGTTAAGATTGTGGCCTCCAATGATGAATCCTGGTAGGAGTTCCAGTTTCTCAGAATTACCTTGCTGTATAGGTTGAATAAGTCCGGTGATAAGACACATCCTTGCCTTATGCTCCTTTCTATTTTTGTATATTTGCTGAACTCATTTTATATCTTTATGCAAGCGGTTTGCTGCCAGTCAAGGTTTTTGATTATTCTAATGTCTTTCTCGAATATGTCAAGGTTGCTGATCAGCTCTAACAAATTTTTGTGGCCTACTTTGTCAAACACCTTTACATGGTCTATAAAACACATATGCACATCTTTTTGCACTTGTATTGCTCTTTCTAATAACATTCTGAGCATGAATATCACATTACTTGTTCCAGTGTCTTTAATGAACCCACACTGTTCTTGTCCTATCTCTGGCTTGATTCTGTTGTTCTCTATTCATCAGAATACAGATGATGAGTTTTGTTATGTGGCTCATTAGGCTGATGGAGTTCACATTCTTTTGTGCCTGGTTTCTTAGGCAGTGCTATGAAAATAGATCTGCTGAGATCTTCTAGTATATCCCCACTGTTGTAGATTTCATTTATTATTTCTGTAATCTTGTTTATACCAAAACCATCTAAGGCCCTGCTGCCTTGTTTCTGTTCAATTTGGCCAGTGCCGCTTCTACTTTGGGTTTTAGAATTTCAGGCTTGTCAGTAATTCTGTGTATTGCCAGTTGTTCTCTTTCGATGTGGAAGATTTCTCCGATATATTCATTCCAATGCTGAAGAATTTTTTCCTTCTCTAATATGAGTGTTCCACCTTGGATTTTATGCAACCTGTTGACGAGAATGTCTTTTGTCCTGTTAGTTCCCTTATTTGTTTCTGCATATCTCATTTGTTGGTGGTACATAATCTCTCTATTTCTGCACATTTTTTGCTTAGCCACTCTCCTTTGGCCTGCCTTCATTTGCTCCTTATTTCATTGTGTAGTTTTTCTGTATTCCATTCCATATCTTGGCCAAGTTTTCTGTCCCCTTTGCATTATATGAAGAATCTCATCAGTGAGCCATTCATTTTTTCTTCTTTGTCCATTCTCTTTTAGGATGATATCATTTGCTGATGTCACTAAAGTTTTTCTTAGTGTGTCCCATTTCAAGTTTCCATTTCCATGTATTTCCCTCATAACTTCTTTTCACACTGTTCATATATATTTTTCATTCAGGTTCAAGTTGCTCAGGAGTTTGTTGTATTGCAATTTGGGTGCTGCGTTAGGCTTCTTCCATAGTTTCACTCTTAGTTTACATATAATAGGGTGATGATCACTTCTGCAGTCAGCACTTGGGTTTGTTTTGCATTGAACCATTGCATTTCTGAATCTTATAGTTATGCAGACAATTTGGTTTTTAATTTCTCCTTCCAGGCTTCTCCATGTCCATAGTCATCTCGGATGTTCTTGGGACTATGTGTTGGCTATTACCTAGTCATTGGTCGTGCACCATTAGATCCATTTTTCTACCCTTGTTGCAGGTTCCTTGTCTGAATTTACCAGCTATCTCCCCTACCCTCTCCCTGCCTACTTTGGTGTTCAGGTCTCTCATGATAATTATGACTTCTTGTGATTTGCAGTGAACCTTGGCATTGTCTAGCATGGAGTAGAAAGATTCAATTTTTTCTTCCTTACTTTGTGCCGTTGGTGCATATACTATTATGATAGCTACGTTGAAAGGCTTTCCTTTCAGATTGACTACAAGAATTCTTTCGGATAATTGGTGGTATCCCAGAATGCACTTCCTGAATTCTTGATCTAGTATCAATCCTACACTTTTATTGTTTTTCTCACTGTCTGCATATATAAACCTGTGATTGTCACTGACAAAATCTCTGTTGTTTGGTCACCTAGTTTCACACACACATGTAAAATGTTGATTTTTAGTCTACTAATCTCCTTTTTTACATTTTCTAACTAACCACAGTGTTAACTTAGTATAAGTCTGATTACCAACTATTAAAACAATATGCAATTGAAACTAACACATTAAGCTAACATGTCCAAAACAAATGAAAAAAAATACATTCCAAACAATGTTATAGGAAAAGGATTTCTTATTACTTACAATTGAAATTTCATATTAATCTTGCTAAGCCTGAATCAATGGTCATTTAGTAAATGCATCTCAGTTTCAGAAACCAAATGCAATGGGTTGGTGACATGGGGGAGGCAAACAAAGACAAAGTCACTTGTTGGTGGGGGGGTCTTACTGAGGTCCCAGGATGACCAACCCTCTTTTAAAACCTTGCAAATGGCAACTTTGCAATTAACAAAAAACAATTTTGTTTTCTTTTCTTTTTCTTGGCTTTTATTGTGGGATTACATTAGAGTCACACTAGTTACCAAAAAAACAAAGTAAGCCAGACTACATATGAAATATATATTATATATATATATATATATATATATATATATATATATATATAGAGAGAGAGAGAGAGAGACACACACACAGACAATTGAAATTTATATACACATTAAGCTAACAGGTCCAAAACATACTTAAATTAAAATACCTGTTTATAAACAAATGCATCCAATTCAAAATTCAGATATTAGCAGTCCATCTTTATTGCCTTAAGATCACTTTATTAAATATTGGTTTGTTGTTACTGTTCAAATCTGTAACTGGAGTTCATCCAAAACATAATGGCCATCTTTTCTGTTAAGGTCCCATCTCTCTCAAAGAGTAGATAATCTTTTTTTTTATCTATCACAGAAGTCACCAAAATATCAACAGTTTTCACCCCAAGCAAGGCAATAAAGACACTAACATGCAGAGGGTTGCTGAGTGTGAAAGGATATTATGGAGTGAGAACAATAAAAGAACAGGAATTAAGAAGGCAGATATTGCATTTAAATTTTTAAAGATCAAACTTGATGGGAAAGCAAGAAGCTGGAAAAGAGCTTCACAAGCAAGAAATGCAATAACATCTAGCCATTTTAACAGTAAAATGATGAGACCTTGCTATCAATCTAGTAATATATTAAATATTATATATATTAAATTCATAAAGTCTAGTTTTCATAGAGGAAATTCATATTTATTTTGCATAATACAAAAATGTGGCACAAGGCCAAAAGGAGGGAGAGAGGATGGCTGGTTTTCAATTTATCTTATCTTAAACTTAACTAGCCACAATTACTGACCCAAACATATCACAATATTCCTTATACCAAAACAACATATTCTTACTTACCATTCTTACTACAACTGCCATAATACCTCAAAGTCTTAATGTAGTCCCCATATGTACAATTTGTCTAAAAATAACAATATTTAAAAATGTAACCCTAATGAATATGTGCAATGAATATAATTTCTATACAAGAAACTAAATAAAATAGAGGAATGTTCATCAGAACAATTACCATGAAAGTATTTATAGAAAAGGCACAGGGAAGCCATGTTATGACAGGGGAAAAGTGACTGAAGCCAAGATACTAGGTCAGGAGTTACAAAATGAAGAAAAGTAAATCAGTTTATATGTTTGTTGCTGATATTTTTGTGACACTTTAGGAAGGGTATAAAAATGGAAGATTTCAGAAAATTAAATCCTTTTTATTAATTTGGCCCATTCAGGTTCAAAGAGGGTTTGTATTTTGATCAATGCTTAAGGCTTGTGAAGCTGAGACCATACACACCAGCGAGTTGGTAAAGCAATATGAAAGTCAAGGTATCAAAAATATGGAGAATCATTTGCTATTTGCTAGTGGTGAAGGGTGACGTACCAACACTACTAGCTCAAAAATGGTTACAAAAATTCAAGTTGTACTGGAGAACTATGTTTTCTTTAAATGGGGAGGAGGCCCCTTTAAAATTGAAGGATCTACTCACAGAATTTGATTCAGTATTCAGCAAAGAAATAGGTTTCCTGAAAGACTTCAAAGTAAAAATGCCTATTGATAAAATGGTGAGTCCAAGGTTTTGCCGAGCAAGGCTGGTCCTTATGCCATAAAGGAAGACTTGGAAAAAGAACTGGAGAGTCTGAAAA